TCACCATGTTGGCCAGGCTGGTCTCAAACTCCTGAACTCAAGTGATCCACCTGCCTTAGCCTCCCAAAGTGCTGGGATTATAGGCGTGAGCCACCATGCTTAGCCAAAGAGGGAAAGAGGGAAAGAGTGATAGGCCAAAAGCCTACAGCACCCGGTACTCCCAGGCAGTCTCCCATCCAAGTACTAACTAGACCCAACCCTACTTAGCTTCTGAGATCAGACGAGGTCAGGTACATTCAGGATGGTATGGCTGGAGACCCTTTATTTCATACTTGGGCAAAAGGGAAGCCACCGGTTTGTCTAGCCAAGCCAGTGCTCTAGGTTCTTGCCTGGGTGCTCTCTGCCACTTCCTGCTTCCTCTCTCCTCTCCCTGCAGTCCTGTCTTACTCCCTCTCTCCTTACCCTGCCATTTTCAGAGCTTTGGGCTCTCCTGCTGTGAGAGGAGAGTAGAGAGAGGGAAAGGTGCTCCCCAGCCCTTCTGCAGGCTCTCCCTGCTGTTGTGGCAAGGCCACCAGAGCACCAACAGATAGGTTTAGCTTCTGGGCTGGAGGCTTTTGGGCAGCCTGGTGTGGGTGAGAGGAAAGCTTCTGGGCAGAATAATAATGTGCTACCTTCTAGCTACAGCATCCTGCTATGCCTCCCCCAAGCACACACATGCCATGAAAACCAGCTGCCTGAGGGGCCTCCAGGGTCTGAGCCCCTACTTGGAGGGACTACTGTGTGCAGGCGGGTGTATTTCAGTGTCTGTAATTAAAAATGAGCACGCATCACTTCACCCAGCAAGGAGACACCACCACCTCGGGTGGGAATGCAACAGCTGCTTGCTAGCTGTGCAGCTGCCTGGGTGTCCAGCCTGGCACAGAAGGCTGGATAGGACTAGGTAGCTCAGGGTGAATAGTCAGGCAAGGTCCAGGGCCCCTCAGCCAGACCTCATCCCTTTCTGGGCCTAGAGCTCATGTAGGAGATGTGACCCAGTCCTTGGCCCACACATTGCCTCCTCCTTTTTGGCATTTGCCATCACCTAGCTCTAAGCAAACCTCCAGTCTCTGGGTAGCCTGGGAGTGGGACCCATTGTCAGCTTCTGTCCTGGGCCTGACCTCTTCTGTCTTCTGTTTGCACCTCACCCCTGGCTGAAGCCAGGGCACAGGGTGAAGTCTTGAGTGCAAAGCACTAAATGAGGAGAGTTCAGATCCTCTCTCTTACCTCTTTTCTTTCTCTCCCCTAATTCAGAAAGACCTGCTGGGGAGGCACTGTGGGTCCTATGGGGAAACCTTGCCCTGGTGTTCAGTCTTGCTTTTGTTGTGGGAGCCCTGAGCTGAATGGGCTAAATGCCTGCACCTTGCCCAGGAGATGAACTTAGACTGAGGTGAGGTGGGAGTGTGTGGTGTGTCCCCAAGGTAGCTGAGGCACTGCGGCTGCCTGTGTGAGTGGGCAAGCTTCCCTTTTTTTGCCAGCACTTCTGAGTGGGTGAGCAGGTGCTAGTCAGGGTAGGGTGGTGGTAGGGAAGTGCTGGTGACTGGGGTCTCCTAGAAGTTCCTGCATCATGGGTGGTGTCCTAAGTCCCCATCTTCTTTCTGCATGTGGAAGGCCCAGGTGGGACAGAAAGCCTAGAGGTGTGTCTGAGGGACTGGAACTCCGAATCCAATTTCTGGAATCCCTGGTGGCACCTTGACTTGATTCACTGACTTTTGCCTGTTAGGTGGAGAGGAATGTGAACATCTGCAACTCTCCCACCTTGGAAAGAGGCTTTATAGTCTCCTTGGGTCTGTGTGTGGGAGTGAGCTGCTCTGGGCTGTGGGTTTGTCAGATGGCCAGTGGTGTCAGTGGCAGAGCATGTTCTCATCATGTCCTGGCAGTGCTTCCACACACTTCTGGCTGTCTGGGCTGTGGAAGAGGGTGTGCCAGTGCTAGGAGGGCTCCAGGCCCACCCAGGCTCTTCACCAGTGAGACCAGCCCAGTGTGACCTTGAGCTGATGTCCTTGGCCACTGGCAGTCTGCTCTCCAAGGGCTCCCTGGGGCTAGCTGAGGGAGAGGCAGCTGGCCTCACCTTCCTCCAATCATTTTCCAATATTTACTGGCTCATTGACATATTGCCCGGGCCATGGCTCCTACCGTGCAGCAAGGACCTGAGAGCCAGCCCATGGTCACCTTCTCTTGCCTCTGAGGCTGCACCTGGTTGGGAGGGAAAGGATTTGTCCTCTGCCTGATCACTGAGGGATGGAGCATATAGCTTGTCCTGCCCCTCACCCTCCATCCCTAGCCTTCACTAGACTCATTCTTTCTCAGTGGGCAGATCATGGAAGGTAGAGCAGTTTCCCAGGCAGGGCCAAGGGGTAACTGCAATCCCCTTCTCTGCCTGTGGGCCTGGCTTGGAAGTTTGCTCCTTTGCCTTCTTCCTGCCCCTTCTCTGCCCATGTCTGAATTTTGGTAGGACCCGGTGCATGTGTTACAGTGATTTGGGGCTGAACAATCATGGCATTTTAATTAGCTCTAGTATGGAGGACCAGGGCCCCCAGGTAACAGTGGGTAGGACCAGGCTAGTTTTGCCTCCAGGGGTCTGGAAACAGGCTCTGGAAGCTGGTGCTCCTTGTGTGGGATGCTGTGAAGAGAGAGAGCTGCACAGAGAAGGAAGGGCTGTGTGGCAGGGCCACAGTTTTCTCTTCATCCTCTGTCTCCCTTGCTCCTCTGTTCTCCCGGATGGCTTTGAGATGAAGGCGACGGCAAGGATGGAGGATGCAGTTTCCATGGCAACGGAGCTGTCCACAGCCAGGCAACTTCAGAGCCGGGCTCTCTGGAGGAGGCAGATGCACAGAGCAGCCGCAGAGCTGCCTCCTGCCTGCCAACGAGGGGGCTGGCAGAGCAGGTGGCACAGGGTGGCAGCCTGGTGCTGCCCAGCCTAGAGGAGAGCGTGGAAAGAGCAGTACTCCCTCTTATCATCTTGTTACTGCCAAGTTCCTACAGAAGATAAGCTAGGGAGGTAGCCTGAGTGTTGAGAGGGGTTGGGTTAGGGTCCCCATTGTCCCTGGAATCTCTGGATGGACACAGGCTCTGGCCTCTGGGATCTTCCTCAAAAACCAAATGTCTGCTGCTCTTGTGATGGCTACTCAGCTGCTACCCTTTGGACCCTTTTCCCAGAGTGTGAGGATATTGGTGAAGGCCATGCCCTGACTAGATTCAGGAATCCTTTTCTTCCATCTAGCTACCGGGGAAGGACCTGGACCTTCCTCAGGGGCCTCCTTGCCCTTGGCCTCAGTGACCTGGCCCAGTTTGCTGAGTTGGGCTCAGGTTTGGTAGATGCCTACCTCTAAGTGCTGGCATTGGAAGGGCCCCAGATCCTGACAGCTTCTGATTCCTGACACTGTGATCTTGTTTAGCCTCCTCCTGGAGACCAGGGCTGGAGTGGGTATGTCGGTGGGTAGGGAAGCAAAGACAGCCATCTGTGTGTTTAGAAATGGGAGGTGTTGGGGGCATGGACTCTTGAGATAGAGAAAGCCCAGAGGGCACCCAGGTTGGCAAAGAAGATTTGACTCCAGCAATTAAAAAATAATGACTTTCCTTCACTGACCTTGGAATCACGAGGGCTGGAGTATTCTACTTGCCATTGAGCACATGGAGACTTGGGATGAAAGACTTTGCTTAGATCACTCATGGAGTCAGAGGCAGAGCCGCAACCAGACCTGGGCCAGGCCAACAACCTCCTGAGTGGCCTCCTAGATGCATCCTCTCTCCAGCTGGCTGCTGGGGGTCCTAGTTAGATGGACCTTTCAGGCTCACTGCCGTTTCCCTTTATCATCTGTAGGCTTGTGTTTAACCCTTATTTGCATGTTTGCTTTAGTTGAAGGAGGTTCCTCAACCCTAGGGTTGACCAGGCAGATGGACAAGTGGAGTCCTGGAGTGGTTTCTCCCTGCAAGGCAATAAGTCTTTCATTACTGCTAAGTGGAAGGCTCATTTCAGAGCTGTGGTGAGACAGGGCAGGTGCTATAAATAGCTGTGTTGTGAAGGTTGGCGGGTGAGCAGTGACAGGGGCCTTGCAGTCATCTTAGTGGGCATTTGTGCTCCATTGCAGGAAAGGTGGGGGCAGGCTCTGAGCGAGAGGCACTTGACCCCAGTTCTGGCTGTCCCTGCCTGCCTCAGGCATGCCTGTGCCCCTCCATATACATTGGGGGATGGGAAGCATTGGATTCTATTTCTAGGCAGAGGGAGGTGAAGTGCCTGTTGAAACTTGGGGCCCAAAGGGTGGTACATCAGCCCAGTGGATAATGTCCTGTGCTAGATCTACTTGTCCTGCCTGCCCTTTCAGTCCAGGGTCTCCCTCCTCCCCATCAGCGAAAACCCTGGGCCCATATGTGAAGAGGTATGGGAACCATACCTGATAGTCTCAGAGGTTGACATAGACTAGCAGGGGTATGAATGAGAGTGGAAGTGGTGTTTAGCTGGCCTTGACCCCTGTCCAGGATCTGTAGTGGCATGTCTGCAAGAGCAGGGGATGGAGGCCTAAGGATTGGGGGTACTGGCCTTCTGATATCTGTGGGTCAGTCACCATTGTCCAGGGTAGACCGAAGATCAGGGCCAGGGGGTCCTGGGATGGAAAGTCTGGCAGGTGAGAAGACCTTGGCTTGGGCACATGGGGTCCCTATCCTGGGGGTGGTGCAGGGGTGCCAAGCTTCATGGCTCTGTGAGACCAGTGCCTTTTGGAACAGCCTTTTGGTCTCAGATGTACACATAGGAGAGCAGTACCAGGCTCCTGGGTTCTTTTACCACCTGCCCTAGGGTGTCATCCTGGGCCTTAAGACTATTATTGCACTCTGGAGTCTGGGGCCCTGCTGTTAGGGTGCTCTATGTATGCCTCCCTCAGCAGGCTTTGGAACTGGAAAGAGATTGAGAGGCAGAGCCAGCCCCTGGGACAGAATAGGTAATAGCCAGCTCCAGGGGCCACCCAAAGACAAGTGAGTCAGGGGCCCTGTAGGGCTTATTCTGCCTTTTGCCACCCCATAACTAGGAGCGGAAGCTGTGTGCCCATCCTCGGCTGGAGATCTACCAGCAAGACCAGATCCATTTCATGTGCCCACTGGCACGGCAGGGAGATTTCTATGTGCCTGAGGTGAAGGAGACAGAGCGGAAATGGCGGGGGCTTGCAGAAGCTGTTGATGCCCAGGTGGATGGCACAGGTACAGAAGGTGGGGTATGAGGGTGGGGCCCTCCTGGAGCTCCTCACTTCTGGATTCCAGGGGCTTGGTTCAGGAGGCTCCTTCCTCTCTGGGTTGGCACTGTGGGTGTCAGTCTATGCTTGGCAGAGGGAGGAAGCAGACCCACCTACCTGAGGACCCATGTGGAGTTTCCTGTTCCCAGACATGTGGACCTACATAGATGTGGATTCACACACATTACCTCCTGGCAACACAGATACAAAGACCCTGCCCGGATTCCTTCCAGATGCAGCAGGAGTACCCTTGGAAACAAAGATCACAGATAGCTCAGTGCTCATGGGAGGGGGCTGAGGCTGCTCAGGAAAGGAGTCCCTTGGGTGGGGCTCAGCAGGAAGTAATATTGGCACTGGATCTGGAAGGTAAGGAGGGAAGCAAAGTGTTCTCTTGTTCCTCAGTACGGGCCCCGCCCAGAGCCAGCTGCTTTCTCCCTGCCAGCGAGCAACCAGGGAGCATGCAGAGGGGAGCCAGGAGATCAGTCCACTGTGCCTTCCTCCAGGGCCAGCCTACACTCCTACTGGCAGCCTCAAGGCTCCAGGTCCAGGTTGCTCAACTCTCTGCAATAATCTCTGTGACCCTGGGCAGTCCCAGGCACAAGGAGGTCGGCTGGTTACATCCCAGATGGTCCCAGGGGCCTTATAACTTTGACCAGCCATGTGGAGTCCATGAATTCTAGGAGTGGTACAGGGCTGTGGGGAGAGGAACTGTCCCTCTTCTCCTCCTTCTTTAGCAGATGCTCTGCCCATCCAGTCTTCAACAGTCAAGGTCACCCTAGGGAGACATGTGTCAGCTGGGGCTGGGCAGGAGGGTACTAGGAGCAGTCTCTACTCCCTAGGGGCCTGTGTCCAACACAGTTAACTTCATCTGCCACTTAATTACCTCCATGGGGTACAGCTCCCTTCTGCCTGGTAGTGCCCGGCAGACACTCTTCAGTGCCCCCACTGTGGGCACAGGACATGGCACAAGGTCAGCAGGCCCAGGCAGCCTCCAGGGCAGGAAGACAGAGCGTCTTCACTTTCCTGTGACCTCCCTCTGCTGCCTGTCTCCCCCTCCTTGACCCACCCACCCAGCTTCCTTCCCTCCCAAACACTGCCTGCCAGGGGCATTGAAGGACTGCTTGGCACCCGCTACAGCTGGCTGCAGCCGCAGTTCCCACACTCCCCAGCTCTTCAGCCTATTTTCCTCCCCTCCAGCCCGCCCACCCACTCCCTGGTGTTGAGGCCAAGGGGTCTGCCCACCTCTCACAGGGCCCGTCCTGACAACCCAGGAGGACTCTGGGTGTTTGCCCGCCAGGTGCATGCCATTGACACAGCAGTTGGTGGTGGATGCATGGAGGGTGTCTCACTGCCCAAAGCTTGGCCTGTCCCTGCCTGCCTCCCTGCTGTGGCCTCAGCTTGGGCTAGGAGGTGAAAGGGGGTGATTAGCTGCCTTGTGCCTGTTATTACATTGATGTATTATTTAGCTCCAGAGAGGCGATGAATAAATATTTGATCGTCTTGCACTGGCTGTGGGAAGAGTGGGAGGGAGGGATTGGGGTGAAGGGGGTGGTTTCACATCCCCTGCCCCAGCAGCTATGGGGATTTAGGTAGGGCCCTGCCTTACCTGGTATCTTCTCCCTAGGGATGCAGGCATGAGACTCTGGAGCCTTATCCTGTGTAGATCTTGGTGGGGCTATAGGGATGCCACTTCCCTGCATTGCACTCTTTTTTTTAAATTCTGAGGCAAGGTCCAACTCTATTGCCCAGGCTAGAGTGGTGCAGTGACGAGATCTCAGCTTACTGCAACCTTTGCCTCCTGGGCTTAAGCTGTCCTCCCACCTCAGCCTCCTGAGTAGTTGGGACAACAGGCGTGCACTACCACGCCTGGCTAATTTTTAAATTTTTTGTAGAGACAGTGTTTCGCCATATTGCCCAGGCTGGCCTTGAACTTAGCTCAAATGATCCTCCTGCCTCAGCCTCCCAAAGTGTTGGGATTACAGGTATGAGGCACCATGCCCAGCTGGATTTCTTTTTCTTTTTTTAAATGGTGTTTTGCTTTTTCTCCCAGGCTGGAGTGAAGTGGCATAATCGTCGCTCACTGCAACTTCTGCCTCCTGGGTTCAAGTGATTCTTCTGGGATTATAGGCACCCGCCACCACGCCTGACTATTTTTTGAATTTGTAGTAGAGGCAGGGTTTCTGCATGTTGGCCAGGCTGGTCTCAAACTCCTGACCTCAGGTGATCGACCTGCCTCAGCCTCGCAAGGTGCTAGGATTGCAGGTGTGAGCCACTGTGCTGGCCTCTGGCAGGATCCCCTTGCTCAAAGTGTATATATGTCCCCTGGGGCTATCTTCATCTCAGCAGGCTATACTGGCCTGAAAGAGGCACCTCTAGGCTCCTTCCTCTGAATACTCCTAGCCTAGGAGCTGGGTGGTAGGAGGTAGCATGCTGGGAAACAGGCACATTTCCTTACCTGGGGTCCCAAGAGAGCCATTGGGTAGGTGAGCAGACAGAACATACAGTTTAGTAGGGCCAGGGAGAAACTGTCTACCTCCTTTGCTCTTTTCAGCCCCTGGCGCACTGATCATCATTTAAAGAGCAGTGAAGGCCTGGGATCCTGCCCCTAGTCAGAAGAAACTACCCCAAATCCCCCACCACCTCACTCACAGGCATCTGCCCTGGGAACCACACCTGGGGCCTTAGCAAGAGCTGGGCTTCCATGGCTGACCTCGGGCCTTAGAAGCCTGGGCTTCCATGGCTGACCTTGCCTCTGCCAGTAGCGCCCAGAGGGCATATTCTGGGGGCTGAGCGCATGGTGGGGATAGGGAGAGACTCCAAATTCCCTCACCTCCTAATTCTCCCACCCACAACGTAGGCCCCAGGTGAGGCTCAAGGAAAGCCCCAGGCTGAGTCCAAGTGCCAAGCAGACCCCAATTGCACCTGGCTTGGCTCTATCACTATGGAGACAGCAGCCAGGGAAGCTGGCCTACCCCTCACCTTCTGCGATGTTTGACAGTTGCTCCTCTCCCTCTCACACAGGAAGGGTAGCAGATCCTCTTTCTCCCAGTCTGGATTCCTGCACACAGCGGTCCTGAGCCCAGTGTTCCTCCTTGCCACCCCGACCTGCTTTCAGTGCCTCTGATCCAGGGAAATGAACCCAGGGGTTGCTCCTGGACAGGACAGATGAATGGGCTTCTTGCTTGGAGGATGTATTGCGGGTGGAAGGAGCAGGTTAGAAGGGGTTTGGGCCACCAGCCTGGCTCAGCACTGGTTTGGGGCACCCCACCCACCAGCAGAATACTCTCATGGTCCCCTTTTGCTATCTTGTGTCTCAGGAAGCCCCAGTCATTGAGGGTGGGTGGATAAGGGTTTCTCAGAGTCAACCCAGGCATAGAGGGAGAAATCCCTTAACTTGTTTCATCCCAGCACCCTCCTCCTTGCAGCTGGTTGAGTGTTTCTCAGGCCTTCTCCATCCTACTGGCACTTTAGCTCCCTCCTCAAGTGGGGACTTGAGTGTGGGCCAGAGGCAGGGGCCTGCTGACTCCCTGGATGCTGCTCCTGGGAGCTCTGTGTGGGGGAGGGCTGGAGAGGGGCCTCCTGCTGCATTCTCCAGTCCTCATGCCCTGTGGGTGATGTTCTGTAGCTGGCCCTGGACACATCTCTCTCCAAGCTTGAAATGGGGGTGGGGGGAGGTGGAGGGGACACTACTTGGGTCTCTTTGTTCTACTTCAGCTCCTCACCTCAGGGCTGAGTGGCCCTTAATAAATGTGGGGGAAGGGCAGGCTTTTTGTGGAAGTACAGGGAGCTGAGGCTAATTCAGGGTGGGGAGAGGAGTGCACAGCTGCCTGCTTTCTCCCTTCTTCCTTCCCTCCTTCCTTCCCTCCCTCCTTACCGCTCTTTTCCTCTGCCCTGTCTGTGCAGCCCCAGTCAGGGCAGAGGGCAGAGGGCAGCTGGAGCGAGCCCCCTGAGCCCAGGAGGCTGCGTTATTCATGCATGCGCTGTGTGTGCTGAGTTGCCTCTCCCTGGAGGCCTGGAGGAGGGGGTGGGTTGGTCCTGGCTAACCTGTGCTCCCTTTTCCTGGCCATAGGAGCTGACACGATGAGTGACACGAGTTCCGTGAGCTTGGAGGTGAGCCCTGGCAGCCGGGAGACTTCAGTTGCCACACTGTCACCGGGGGCGAGCAGCCGTGGCTGGGATGATGGTGACACCCGCAGCGAGCACAGTTACAGCGAGTCAGGCGCCAGCGGCTCTTCTTTTGAGGAGCTGGACCTGGAGGGCGAGGGGCGTTTAGGGGAGCCACAGCTGGACCCTGAGACTGAACCCCTGGGGATTACCAAGTGGCCCTGGGAGCCCAGTACCCCTGAGAAGGGCAAGGAGTAATCTGTGGCCTGCACCCTCCTGCAGTGCCATTGCTGAGGAACTGAGGAGACTCTCCAGCAGACTCTCTAGCCCTCTTCCTCCTTCTCCTGGGGGAGGAGGGGTTCCTGAGGGACCTGACTTTCCCTGCACCAGTCCTCTTGCTAAGCCTTCTCCTCACTGCCCTTTTGGCTCCCAGGGCCAAAGAAGCCAGGGACTGTTTTCTGCACCAGCCCCCAGGGCTGCCACCCCTGTTGTGTCTTTTTTTGACTCATATTGGAGCTTCCAGGACCCAGAATAAAGTCAATGATTTACTTGTTTCACTTGGATTTGGGTTGTGTATTTGTTTGTTAGTTCTGCCTTGGTGGGTGGGGGGGGGTCCCATACAGATAGGCTGGGATTGGGCAGGAGCCTCCCCTCCCCAGGACAAGGAATGGCGGGAACATGGCAGGTACCCTGGGGTGTGGGGAGGAGGGGTGTTAGAAATCCTCCATGTCCTTCTCTGTGACCCCAGTGGTCAACTACCCCTCCATTACAGCTGCCAGAGAGCACGCAGAGCCTGGCTTGTGTGAGAGCTGAGCATGGGGCACCTTCCAGGACTCAGGAGTGGGGAGCTCATAGCCCATCTTCGTCTGCCTCCAAGGGATGCCTGTGTCTGTGGCTCTAGTGTGCCTGCACGTGGTACCTCCTTAGCAGGCAAGGCTGTCTCACTGTGCCTGCCAGTGCCTGTGTACCTGTGTGTATGCATGTGTACCCACGCTCATGCATTTGGCTCTGTAACCACGGATGGGGCTGCTTGGGTGAAGCTGTGCCCAGGTGAGCATCAGGGTGTGATTGTAGCTGAGCATGGCTCTGTCTGTGTGGATGGCTGTGCTTTGTGTCTGTGTATGGTTGAATTATAGGAGCATGTGAGGCTGGCTTAACAGCATCTCTTTGGGGGCTTTGTCCATATACAGCTGTGTGTGGCTGTGCATGTACAGCTGTGTGTATGGTGATGTTCATGATGTTCATGTATAAAGCTATGTGTTTTGCTATGTGTCTGCTCTATCCAGTTGTGTATCCATGATTATGGCCGTGCATGTGTGGCCATGTCTTGGTCTACAGCTGTTTGTGCCATGTCTATGTGAGCAGCTGTATATACGTGGCTGTGTCCACATGTTTAGTGGTGTGTAGGCATGGTCACATGTTCGTAGGGGCAAGGGTGTGCCCATTTGTATTATGGCTGTTTGCAAGTATAGCTGTATGTGGTTGCATGTTTACATGTACTATATATGTGGCTATGTCCACATGTACAACTGTGTGTAAGGCTGGGTGTTACGTCCTCATCTGTGTGCACAGCTGGGAGTGGTAGCTGTCTAGCCATGTGTAACTGTATGTCCAGGTGCTGTGATTGTGCAGCTTGTTTGCTGTAGGCCATATCATGGGCTTTTCGGGCTGGTGCTGTACATAGCCATATCTGTGTATACAGCCCCATGCCTTTTGTGAGGCTGGTGTGTTGAGCTGGCTGGGAGTGTGACTGGGAGGAGTGTGTGACTCCTTACCTCAGCACCCTCCTGCTGTCAACCCCTCCTCTCCAGGGGCCTGGCCCATCGCTCACCTACCCTAGGAAGTGGTTGCTCTGAGGCAGCCAGAGAGGGTGAGAGCAGCTGGTGGCAGAGTTGGAGGTGGAAGACAGCATGTCTGTCTCCTGCTGCCACTTGGTCTCCTGTTAGTGATGGAGCTTGTGTTTATTTGGGTTTGATGTGTCTGTTTTGTTTCAAAGCTGTATTCTTTCCACAGCAGTGGGACACCGGGTTTCTGTGTCCAGGGAAAAGGCTTATCCTTGGTGATCATCTCTGCCCCCCTGCGGACTGCTACTTGCACATGTGGGGGTGTATGCTTGAGGAGTCTGGGCCTGGCATGTTCATTAGCATGTATCTGAGCTGGCCTTACTTCCACCAACACCTGTGGAGGAAAGGGCAGTGTCAGGGGAATGTGTGTAGGGATGCCATGCCCCTTGGCACTTGTTAAGTATGTGTACATGTTAGGGCAGATAGTACAGGCTCTTTAATCCCCATTCCTTCAGCACAGTCTGGCACTACAGCTTACCCACTACCTTCTAACCAGGGGTGTCCTTCCCCATCCTGCTGTGGGAGGGAAAAGTCAAGAGCATCTTCTCAGAGCTGTCCTCCCTCTGCTTGGTCTCCAGCTCTCCCTCCTACGCAGCAGCCAGTTCCAGAAGTCTTTCCCCAGGCCCCTCCCCTTCCAAATCCCCCTGCCATCCCTAGCACTCCCTCAGGGTTGACCCTAGTACTTGGTTCTGAAGCCCCTCCCTGCAGGTTGCTATCTCCTTGCCTAAATACGCTTTTTACATGGGAGTAAAAGGGTGGCAGGTTTAAAGGGCATCTGCAGGAAGGAAGGGGAGCCCCATTCTCCTCTGACCTCCCCTTTCCCCAATCTTTTCCTCCTAATGAGGCTCCAGCTCAGGCTCCAGCTCTCACAAGGGGCTGAGGACACATGCCCCCACCTCAGGCCTGGGATGTGGACCCAGCTGAAGTCATTGGGTGGGGAGAATAGACTCTACCTGTTTCCCACGTGCCCATTTACCTATCCCCCGGAGTTACCCGTTGATGCTAGGGCCAGCTCCTCCACTCTGCAGTAGCACTATGTGCACCTGTTGGGGCGCAGTGACCTTCCTCACCCTGTGCCCCGTGGCATTCCCCCTTCCCCCACCTGTACTATCTAGGTGGTAGTCTGATAATGGGGCAGAGTGGGCCACCAAGCACCTGCTCCAGCAAAGACGGAGAGCGCTCGGAGATTCAGCACCACGAGGTGGACAGTTCCAGGCCCGGAGGTCCCAAGAAAAGCGGGAGCCTGGAGGGTCCAGAGGCTGGAGGAGGCTGGGTTGGGAGCCGGAGACCCGGAGTCGGAGTCGGGAGGAATGGAGGAGGGGCTGGGGGCGGGCCGGGGCCGGGGGCGGGGCGGGCCGCGATTGAAAGCGGCGGGGCGAGCGGGCGGGCGGAGAGTGCAGAGCCAGCTAGCAAGCGAGCGAGCGGGAGCCAAAGCCTAGCGCCCCCCGCCCGCTGCACTCCGACTCTCTCCGCGCCAGAGCCGAGCGCACCAGGTAGGGTGAGCCGGTGGTGCCGCTGCTACCGCTGCCGACCCTTTTGGCCCTAACCTCACGTCCCAGGACCCCGCGGGCCCTTGAGTTGTGGGGCGCCCATGCTGGGGTGTCCAGACAGCGCCTGGGAGCTCCGGGAAGCGGGAAGACGGCCCCAGGCGTCCCGCCTTTATTCCCCAGAAAACGCACGCTCCGAATCGCGCTTCCCCGTTCCTCCTGCTCCAACGTCCTCTGGTCCTTCTTTCTGTCTGTGCTTCCGTCTTTGTCTCCACCTCTCAGGCTCGTTCTCTCCCTGCCCAGATTTTGTGGCCCAGGTCCCTGCCTGCCTGACTCCGGGTTTCTGTCCCCTTCTTGCCTCTAAGCTTCCGTCTGGGCCTCCCCTGTGGGAGGCTTGCGACTTGACCAGTTTTGGCCTCAGCCCCCATCTGGGTCCCAGTCCCCATCTGTGCTGGTCTTCCTCCCTGCAGTTCGCTTGCCTGCGTGAGCTGCTTCTTTCCTGATCCCCAGAGGAGCCCAGTACCCCTGCCCTGGGGAGCTGAGGGAGCAAAGTGAGGAGCCTCAGCCTCTGTGGCCAGCACATGGGGTCCTTGAATTAGTTGCTGCCCATCTTCAAACTCAGTTTCCTTTCCTGTTCTGAGGAAAGAGGTATAGCCCTCTCCCAGCCTTTCCAAGCCTGTGTGATTGTGAGAGCCTTTGTGGGGTGTGTTTGGGAAGGCAACTGGAGTACAAATGATAGGCTGCAGCGGGGAAGAGACAGGGAGGAGGTGTCTTAGGGCCATGGCTAGGGTGGGCAGGTCTCTGAAGCTGAGGATGGGGAGATTGGAAATGGTGACTTTCTCTGCTGGGTTTGAAGTGAAGAGAAAACAAAGGCACAAAGTCTTAAACAGCATTCTACATAGAGCTAGGGAGTCCCACACTCACACCTTCAGCACTGTTTGGAGACTCTATCCCCCAACCCTCACACACACATACGTGAATATCTGCTTGCCCTGTTGACTTAGGACCTTTGACCACTTGGGTACCCTCCCTGGGGCCAGCCTTTCTACCTTGCTGTCTCATTCCCAGGGCTTAGGGTCTCTATCCCTTCTTCAGTTAGGACACTGTGGGGATGGCTTTTTAAGAACCAAAGGCTAGGACTCTTGGGTGTTTACATAGGCTCCAGTCTCCCCATGGGTTGGAGACTGTCCCTTAGAGATTCTTCCCTGATGGGTCCTTCTGTCTGGAAATCCAAGGCTCAGGATGGAGACCTCTGAGTTTGCAACTCTGACATAGACTATTCCAAAGGTACTGGCCTCGTGGTCCTAGGAAGTTTGTGCTGGTCTTGGACACCCTTTGATTTACAGAGGGGTGAGCATCGGCTGGGGTCTCCTGTCCTCTGCCTGGGCCTTCACTCTTTACATCCCTCTCTGCTGCTGATTTTGGTAGGGGACTAGGGCCAATCTCTTGCCCATCTGAGACCAGGGCTGAGAGACAGGCCCAGGGGAGTCCCAGGAGCTTCTCAGCCTAGTTAATGACACCCTGTCCCTGTCTCCTGAGTACCTAGGACAGGGGATTGGGGGGAGGCGGAGTCAGAAGGGGCAGCTGCTCTCAGGTTCCACTTTTCCTGGTCTGTTTGTCTATCTTTCTATCTCTGCAGGAGCTGGGTCCCTTCTCATCTCTCTTCTTGTCTGTCCTTTCCTGGTCCCTGATTCCTCTGCTATTTGCCTTTGCTGCTTCTAATCTCATCCCCTGGAGACCCAGGTCTGCTGGACCCTGTCATCCCCTTTGGGGCCATGGGATCGCTGCTTGGGCTCCTGGCACTGCTGCTGCTGTGGGGCGCTGTGGCTGAGGGCCCAGCCAAGAAGGTGCTGACCATGGAGGGAGACTTGGTGCTGGGTGGGCTGTTCCCAGTGCACCAGAAGGGTGGCCCGGCAGAGGACTGCGGTCCTGTCAATGAGCACCGTGGCATCCAGCGCCTGGAGGCCATGCTTTTTGCACTGGACCGCATCAACCGTGACCCGCACCTGCTGCCTGGCGTGCGCCTGGGTGCACATATCCTCGACAGTTGCTCCAAGGACACACACGCCCTGGAGCAGGCACTGGACTTTGTGCGTGCCTCACTTAGCCGTGGTGCCGATGGCTCACGCCACATCTGCCCTGATGGCTCTTACGCCACCCATGGTGATGCTCCCACTGCCATCACTGGTGTGATTGGCGGCTCCTACAGTGATGTCTCCATCCAGGTATG